AATAAAGGAAAAAAAACCAAAAATGGTGAGGGCAACATAGCAAGACCCTCTCTCTACAAAAAATAAAAATAAAATATTAGGCTGGGCGTAGTGTATCACGCCTATAATCCTTAGCACTCTAGGAGGGCAAGGAGGGAGGACTGCTTGAGCTCAGAGCTCAGAGTTTGAGATCGTCTCTACTAAAAATAGAAAAATTATACTAAAAATAGAAAAATTAGCCAGATGTCATGACTCACACCTGTAGTCCCAGCTACTCAGGAGGCTGAGGCAAGAGGATTGCTTCAGCCCAGGAATTTGAGGTCGCAGTGGGCTACCATGACGCCACTGTACTCTACCCAGGCTGACAAAGATTCTGTCTCAAAAAAAAAAAAAAAAAAATTAGCCAGGCATGGTGGTGGCACCTGCAGTTCTAGCTACTGGAGAGGCTGAGGCAGGAGGATCACTTGAGACCAGGAGTTCAAGGTACAGTGAGCTACAGTGGGATCACTGCATGCCAGCCTAGGTGACAGAGTGAGACCCCTGTCTCTCGAAAAATAAAAAAATATCTAATGCTAACTGCCCCGAGTTGGGAGACAGAAGCAGCGGGGAGGCTTGTCTTACTTTTAGGGAGGCTCAGCCCCCCACGCCTGCACTGACTCCTCGAGCCTGTCTCCAAGCATGTAGGAGCACTTTCATGACTCACCTAATGAGGGAAGCTGTGTAAACTCCTGGTGGCCAAAGACCGCTTACTGGCAGAGAAACTGAGGCACAGGGTGGGTGGGGAGGGAACCATGCATCACACTTGAGGCCCCAAACTCTGCTCCTTGGTCCCTGACCAAACCAGCAATACACATGTCATCAAAGGAGCTCCCTGTCCATCCTGCACAGCTGGAAATCTGAGCCCTGATGATGGTACAACACTCATTTTTCTTTATGCCTCCTCAGTGCCTCAGAATTCATTCTCTCCCAAACCTGAAAGGTATTCATTCACTCACATATTCACTCAGTGACATGCCACTGAGGCCTCACTATGTGCCTGCTGAGAGCCATTCTAGGGGCTGGAGATACATCAGTGAACACAACAGAGTCCTGCCCTTTGGACCTATATTCCCGTGGTGGAGACAGAGTGTTGTATCAACACAGTAAATCAGCAAACTACACTAATGCTGGAGTGATGCAAGCTACGAGAAAAAGGAAAATTAGCATAGGGTAGGGGGGAGATCAGGAAGATGCAGTGGGATGGAGGTGCAGTTTTAAAGAGGGTGGCAGGAAGGCCTCACTGACATGAGGGAAGAGAGAGCGAGCCTTCTAGGGAAGAACATTCCAGCTGGAGGGAACAGCCAGGGCAAAGGCCCCAGGGTGGGAGCACCCTGACATGCTTAAGAACAATAAAAACGCCAGTGGGGACTGCCAAATAGTCACCTACTCATCTGTTCATTCACTCGTTGTTCAACAAACATCTACTGAAGACCCACCTCTTTGCCAGGCACTGAGTGATGCAAACACTCGAGAGGCACAGCCCCTTACCCTCAAGAAACTTATAATGCTGCAGAGAAAGCTGGGAATAAAAGGGCCCTAAAAGAGGATTACACCAGGGCAGGAGGACTCTGGCAGAGTAGGCTCAGGGCCTTCACACAACTTGGGCTGGAGGAGGGTCCAGGAAAGACCCTCAGAGAGATGCTGGGCCAGACAGTTGCCCCAGCCCTGACTTCAGTGCTGCTGACAACAGTGGCTGTGCTAACCTTGCTCACTTGTCTTTCTTAGTCAAAAAAAAACCTTTCAAACACCAGACTAGTAAAGAAACCCTTTTAAGTTGCAGATGTACACTAGGTGTTTGCCATGTCCCAGGCGGCCTCTGACTAAAAAATGTGGATGCCAGATGGAAAGATCTGGAAGAGGCCACACTGAGAGGAACCCGGAGTGCAATGACTGGTGTTCAGAGACCTCTGGGAACTGGGGGAAGTGATGGCGTAAAGCCCCAGGGCCTGTTTGTTAGGGGCGACCGTCGCATCACACTCACGTGTCCAGGGCGGCCTGCTGCACTAGGAAGACTGCGCCTGCTTTTCCACAGCATCACCAGCACCCCCTCCAGGGCTTGGCCTCAGGCTACCGGCCTCTGTGCAGTAGAATCTACCGTGAATCTGAAGAGTTCAGCTCAGCAGAGCTCTGGCCTAAGAGATGCTCGCTCTGTTTTCCCAGCTTAATGAAAGGGCATTTCTTCACAAGACTGAGCCCAGAAACAGCCCAGGAGGCTCCCACCCAGGAAAGCTCAGGCCTGCGGATCAGGGATGGGAAGCCTGGCTAGGTCAATCCATACTGGTTGGATCCGGATCCCAGCTGAACTGATGGAACGTGCTGTTGGTGTGTCACAAGCAATAGTCCTAAAGACTACAGAGGTGGCAAGGAGGAAGTGCCCTGGAGAGTCCTAATCAGGTTATGACCACACACCATGGGAGAAGTCTTCAGGCCCGAGGCTTTGGGTGAGGGTGGGGCACAGATCCTCACTGCTCTTCTGTCCCCGGCTCAGGTACCTGGGAGAAATAGGTTCCTGGGCCTGCACCCCCAACTCCCCAGTCTCTGCCACCAGGCATCTATGTCTGTCTAGTCTCTGCAGCGAGGCCACTTCCCTGAGGCTCTCTCCCACTCTGCCTTACATTCCTTAAGTCATCCTCAGCTCCAATGCTGAGATTCAGTCTGTCAAACTTACCACGGAGGGTACCAACCAGGCCACCCTGGCCCTGACCCCAGCATCTTTTCAGACCAAACCTGGCAAGGCCAGCTCCTCCCTCCCCCACTCCAAGGCTGTCCTCCACTCTCCTCCCAGCTAGGGTCCTGAAGTCCCTCCTAGCAGCCTCAGCCAGTAGGAGCTCTACTGGTCGTTGGAAACCAAGCTGGGATGGTGTTTGAAAAGCAAAGTCCCCAGGTTCAGGATGAGATCCCCCCATTCCTTTCTGCCTCCACACTTCCTTTGGCCTAGGAGGGTTCCACTCCATAATTGGCTTGTTTACTGCCACTCTGAGGGCTTCTGAGTGGCAGAGCTGGAAGGAAAGTTTTGTGGGAAGTAAAGAAAGGAGTGTGTGCCCTGAGCTTTGAGGCTGGTGAGTAAACTCTCCCAGTGCCTCTCTACCTGAGAACTGGCCAAGAACCCAGGTGAGAAAAAAACACAAGGCAGTGCAAGGCCAGTGGAAGATTCCCAGGGGACCACAGGAGGGAAGCTTATGTTTTGGCGCCTGGGAAAGACAGAATAACCAAAACTTAATCTGCCTGCTTCTGCTGAATAGCTGAAAGTGTTACTTGGCACTGTTCTGAGCGGAGAGCCAAACGTAGACCTCCCAGTTCTGCTTCTGTGGGCTAGGAGATCTAGTGACATCACTCCCCTGCTCAAAAACCTTCCACAGCTTCAAGCTTGAAGCAAACTTATTGTCCATCACGGGGCCCCAAACTACTCTAGTCTCTCTCCCACTGACCACTGACCAGCAGAACCAACGTGCCAGCTAGCTAAGCAGGACCACCTGCTGGGTCACAAGCACATCCTTTGCTTCCCCACTCAGGTTCTCTGCTTATGGGGTTCCCTCTGCCTCAAGCATCAAGCCTCTCCATCTTTTAAGGCTCCCCTCAAATGCTCACTTCCCTGTGACAGCTTCCCCAGCCCCTTCCTCATCTACCCCATACTCTAAATCTCCATCGCCTTGCAGTTGGCCTCTTTTCAGGCATTTGTGTTACTCTTCGCTGCTTCAATAGCTCCCCAAGGCCTTGCTGTAGCCCTCCAGATGAATGAGCATGTCTTATTCAGCTTTGATTCAGCAGCAGCACAAAGCACAGTCCCTGGCAGTCGGCAGACGCTTACGAACTGTTTCTACTGCCCCAAATAGAGTTCATCTCAGGGGCATGGGAAGTGATGGGCAAAGGAACATGAGGAGTCACGCAAACAGAACACTAAGCTCAGGAGACACAAAATACACCAGAAAGGCCGGGCGCGGTGGCTCACGCCTGTAATCCTAGCTCTCTGGGAGGCCGAGGCGGGTGGATTGTTTGAGCTCAGGAGTTCGAGACCAGCCTGAGCAAGAGCGAGACCCCCGTCTCTACTAAAAATACAAAGAAATTAATCGGACAACTAAAAATAGAAAAAATTAGCCAGGCATGGTGGCGCATGCCTGTAGTCCCAGCTACTCGGGAGGCTGAGGCAGAAGGATCGCTTGAGCCCAGGAGTCTGAGGTTGCTGTGAGCTAGGATGATGCCACGGCACTCACTCTAGCCCGGGCAACACAGTGAGACTTTGTCTCAAAAAAAAAAAAAAAATACACCAGAGAACAAGAGGTGTCACAAAGAAATTTAACCAGGGAGTTGCGTCAGACCTTACCCTTCTTGAACTCCTCCAGCATGGCATCCAACTTGGTGTCATGGAAGACAAAGTGCACTGGGTGGTTATAGAAGCGGGTGATGGTCTTGAGGGGGGTGCAGTCATCAGGGTCCACAAAGGCCAAGTCTTTGACGTAGAGAATATCTACAATATTGGATTGCTCATCTTCAAACACTGGGATGCGGGTATAGCCACTTTCCATAATCTCTGACATCGTGTTGAAGTCCAGGATGGCATCGCTGGGGAGCATGAAGCAGTCCTGGAGCTGGGTCATGACGTCCTCCACAGTTTTGGTCCGTAGTTCCAGGGCACCCTGGATCATATTTAGCTCCTCTTTCACGAGGTCATTATAGGGCTCTGTCACCTTCAACATCTCCATCAGCTTCTCCCGATTGTAAACAGTGCGAATCTCCTGGCCCAGACAAAAGTCCAGGAGCTTGCTGATGGGAAAACTGAGGGGAAAGGTGAGTAGCATAAAGAATTTGGTGAGAACAATTGTGTTGGCTCCTACAGCCAGCCCGTGTCGGGAGCACAGGGACTGAGGTACGATCTCCCCAAAGATGACAATGCCAATGGTGGAGGAGGCCACCGCCATGAGGCCAGAGCCAATGAGGTTGTCCAGAAGGATGGTGAGAGAGGTGTTGACCAGCACGTTCCCCAGGAGCAACGAGCAGAGCAAGTAGTTGCCCTTGCGCCGGATAGGCTCAATCTTGCGGGCATACTTTCTTTCCTTCTCTGTGCCACAGTTCTGCACAATGCGCAGTTCCATGGGGTCCAGGGCCATAAGCCCCAGGTTGAGGCCAGAGAATATGCCCGACAGCACTAGCAGCACCATAATGAGGACAATGTGCAGCCAGAGGGGCAGGAACCTCCCAGCCTCTTCCACCATGAAGAGCAGCGAGTCCTTGTCTGTCCACTTCAGCCAGGGCCCATCGGCCCGGGCCCGGGTGCACAATGCATACAGCTTCATGTTCTCGCTCCTCCGGAGGAACTTGGTGAGCACTACCAGCACGCCGGATGTGTTCCCGCGGCTCACGTTGACCAGCTGCTGCACGACCAGGTCCTTAGTGAGCTCCAGGCAGTTGGTGGACTTGCGGGCGGTCTCCGCGTCGTCCACCTCCGTGAAGGAGATCAGGTTGCTAGAGATGTTGCCCAGGCTGTGGCCGTACAGCCTCAGGTTCACGGTGCTGCCCTCGGAGACGAAAATGATGCCATCCGGGTTCATCCCACACGACTTGTTGCAGCTCGCCAGCCTCATGCCGACGATCGCGCCCGGCTGGGGGCTACCCTGGCCCCGGGCCCCCTGCGCCCACAGCAGCACCAGCAGCACCAACGCCGCCAGGAGGAGGCGCCCTCGGGCCGGCCCGCCGCCCGGGTGCCCGCCCCCGCCCACCGGCGCCATGTTGCTGTGGCTCTGCGGCCGCCGCTCCCCGCGCCCTGCCGCGCGGCCCCGCTCGGCACCGCAGCTCCGGCCGCTCCGCCGCCGCTGAGCCAACTGCCCGGGCCGCGGGCCTGACGTCAGGTCAGCGCCCCGCCCGCCCCGCCCCGCCGACCCACGCCCCTCATTTACATTGGAAGCCCCTCCCCGAGGCCGCGGCTCGAGCACCCGCCCTTAAGGGAGTCCGGGCACTTAAGGTGGAGCGGCGCCGCAGGGCGGGAGCTGCCTCCGGGTGTACGCCCCGCCCTCCGCCTCCACGCCCTTCCCCGCGTTTCCCCGGTGCTTGCGGGGGCCCGCTGTCTCCTCCGGAAGGTGGTCTCCTCGCCGCGCGTTCCTGTTCCGTGGCTTGTAGGGTCTCACACGCTCGGCTCCTTTCCTGTCCCCAGCAGTCTGCAGCTCAGCTTGGAGCCCCTCTTTGCAGGCACGGCGAAAAAATGCTTTTCCTAATTTTGAAAAAGAAAAAGGGAACCTGAGGGCTTAGGCTGGCATTGCAGCCTGCCTCTTGGAGACTTTTCTGGCCTCCTCGCTTCTGGGGTTTTTGCTAACCCTGTCCCAAGGCCAGAAGTAGGTTCCCCCAACCCCAGCCCAAGGACGTCTCCATCAGCCAGTGGCTGCCTGCCTGGTGTGGAAGGCAGATCTGGGGAACTAAGGTTACAGAAGGGCCAAGTTCTGGCCTAGGCTTATCCCCTGCCACTTCCATTTAGGCACAATATTTATTGAGCACTTACTATTAATATGTGCCAGGCTCTTGTGCTAGGCTCTGACAATATAGCAGTGAATAAGCCAAAGTTGCTGCCCACTGGAGTTTACAGTCTAGAACAGAAAACAGGTGGTAAACAAGTAAACACATAAATAATATTTATTTAATCCTCCCAACAACCCTAAGAGGTAGGTAGTATATTATCTCCATTTTACAGTTGCAGAAATTGAGCTGAGGCACAAATCCTGGTCCCTCCAGATTGTCACCTCTCAGTCTGTTTCTTCATCTGTAAACGGGGGTAAGAATGATGATACAGCACCACCACACTGAGCTTGTGGGAACTGTTAGCCTAGACGTTGAACATGACAGGACAACTCTTTGTGAATATTCTTTGGCTATGTAGTAGTAGTTGTTGTTGCTACCTGCCCTTCCAGGACCAAACCCCTAACCCCAAATTGTGGTGACTAGCCAGCTGGGGCAGCAGCTTGTGGAAAGGAGCTGACAGGCGTGGCAGCAGACCTAGCCCTGAAATGACTGCTTCCTGGACTACCTCTGTGTCAATCCACAACTATGAATCGAGCACCAAGCACTCAGGTGTGTGGGTAAGATCGCAGCTGCCCGCCCTGTGAGGGGGAAGGAGATAGACAGACAAACATCCTTACAATAATTGCAGAGGTGTGCTGAGAGGATCAGGTACTGGGTTGACCCATGGGTCTCAGAACAAGACTTTTCCCAGCTCTGGAGACACAGAATCCACTTTACTCTCTTCCTGCACCAACGCTTGTGTTTATTTTTATTTTGGTATACTGTCTGCTAATAAAAGCAACAATCAGTACCAACCGGAAAGAGCCTAAACAGAAAGGAACAGTCATACAGTGTTGTGGGAGGAGGAGTGGTGGTGGAGGAGCCTGATTCAAGAAAGCCCCATTAGCAGGGGTCGAGGGTTCTGCAAACCAGGCTGAAGAAGTCCCTTGCAAGTAAGTGCCTCACTTCACAATGAATGTCCAACAAGCCACTTTTTCAGGGAACAGGAGTCCCAGGATGGGCACTGGATAAGACAGAACAAAGGTAGAACCTTTGACTGTTTCCACCTTGTCTCCACCAACCAGGAAGAGCCACCTGCACTGCCTCAAAGCAAGGGCAGTTCAGGAAGGCTTCTGCACAGCCCTCCTCAAGTCTTCTAGCGAGCTTTAGCACCAGTGCCCTCCTCCACCACTTAGAAACTTTCCCATTCTATTATCGACTGACTGGCTATTTTTATTTTGCCCTTTGCTGTCTGCACTCAGCAGCTCTGTACATATGCATTAAATCTCATGGCAGAAGCCAATGAAGGGAAGGAAAAATATGTTTTTGAGATACTTGGGTTAAAAGTGGGAGCAATGGTGAGGGTCTGCTAGGAAGAAAACATTCTTGGTTAAAGTTTAGTTCATCATACCCATCCATGACTGCATTGACATGCATGATTAGGTGAATAGAGCAGATCCAAGGAAGTAAAGAGATGAAATTCATCTCTGCCCTTTTTAGGGCCTGTGATCTAGCTGGGATGACAGAACTTGCTCTGCAAAATATAAATAAAATATAACTCAAGAGATGTCAGAGGAAGCACATGGGGCCCTAGACTGTAGTCCAGGTTTAGTCGCTGCCAGCTTCATCCCTGCTTAGGACAGCTATCCTTTCCACATCTGCCAAGTTGAAATACCCCTCCTGCAGAATTGTGGGGACAACACGGAGATAGGGGGCCATTGACATGCAGGGTCAGGAAGCCTGTGGCTCCCCTATTAACCATGCTGTTAGAATGGTAGAAAGCAAACCTGCCAGCAAGAAGCCTCTCTCCTTTGGGGGGCAGGCGAAAACATGTTTCTCAGAGGGGTCCTGCCCGGTGACCCCTGAGCATGTAACAGCACTCTATTCATGAGGTCCTTGGACCTGACCAGTTCTTTCCGGGTGTAGACCCTATGGCAGCATGTACACACCTCCTGTAATTAAGCACACTCCTTTCTGGTCCTGTGCAGGGAAACAGGCTTAAAGGCTTATTGCCCCTTCGCTTGTTCCTGGCATCATGCTGACACTGGGGATCCGATGATAAACAAGGATCCTGAATTAGTAACCTGGGATCTAATTTTCCCAGGCTGGCTTCTTAGCCCTCTTCACCTTCTGGGTCTCCAAGATGGGGAGCTGCTGGCAGAGAAGCTGCCCTTCTGCTGGTGGTGCTCAGAGCCTGAGGCCTGCCGTGGCCTCACTGGGCAGAGTCCCTCAGGTGTACCCTGGGCCCTAGGTTTGGAGAGCTTGGTTGGGGCAGTGGGACAACTTTTCAAGGTTAGCCACAGGCCATCATCAATACATGCAGTGGCCTGTTCACCAGCTGTCCATAAATCTACAATAACCTTGAACATTTGCAGGATACATGCATGCCATTGTCTCAGGAAGGAAGGAAAAGTCACCCTTCTACAGAGGGACAGAGTGAGCATAGAGTTAGCTGAGGTGGTGCCTTGGCTCAAATCCCAACTCAGGTCATCCCAGCAAGTAGGGATGTGAGGACGTGGATGAGAGGATGTCATGATTTCTACCCGAGACAGACACTTCATTGAGCCAGAGGAGGGGGTAAGAATATCCGGTCAGTGGATCCAGGCCACTGAAAGGATGAACCTCTGACAAAAGGTCGAATGCCAGAGCAACAAAGGCAAAGGGGGGTTTTTTATTAACTGGGTATGTGGGCTTCGAGCCTCCCCAGGCCAAAGGACAAATTGTTCTCCTTCGGGGGCAAGACTATGGGAGGCAGGATGCCCCACCATGGAGGTTCAGCACACTGATTGCCCGTGTGACCTGGGACTCTGGGACATTCTTGAGTGCTGAGAGAGAAGACACCTGGTAAGTACTTCACAAGTGCCTGGTCCATGGGAAGAGCTCAATAAACATGCTCGATAACCACGATGATGACAGAAATGCTGCTTTAGAGGACACTTGCAAATTTCCTTAGCACCAGTGTGCCTCTCCATCCAACTGCAGCCAGTCTTCTTGCTCTTTACTTTCCCTTTCCTCTAGAGGGAGAACATCAGTAAAGGATGCTGGGGGAAGAAGGGACACCTAGGACTATGCAAGACCACATCTGGATCCTTGGACCTCCGTGGTGAGGGAAGAAAGGAGGTTGGGATGGAGGTGAAGGCCGGGGAAGTGAGCCTGGTAGGGGCTTTCACAGTGCAAAGGGGTCAAGCTGAAAAGGCTGTGCAAGTTAGGGAGAGAGGCAGCCTCTCACTCAGCATCGGAGATCTGGCAGGTCCTCAAAGCAAGGCCTGCCAGGGAAGCCCCTGCCAGTACCAGGGTCCCAGCAAAGAGTCACTCTTTTATGCTGCCTTCTGTCCCCAAGACTGGCTACCCCAGCAAGCTTTTCCTTCTGCCTCTGAAAACAGACCCTCTAAAGACCCTTTTTTATTTTAAGAGATTAACTATTAATCACTAGAGCAAAACAGGAAAGAGCAAGATAACAAACACTAAGTATTTACAAAGGCTTAAGAACAAAGTGCTTGAAGTTGTCACAGTTTCTGACCCTTTTTCTGAGTTGGCAAATGGAAAAAGGCTATAGCAGAAATGTCAAGGGCTCTGTCCCTTGCTAGATGTTGAATTGCAGCAAGGTGCTTCATTTCTTAGGGCTTTGGTTTCTCCATTTTTCACCTGGGAATCAAGAGACCCTCCTCACCATATCGAAAGGACTGCGTGAGCCAGATTTGCAGAGCGCTGTTCCATTAATGTTAGTTCCTTTCACATTACATCTCATTCATTTATTCATTTGTGTATTTTTATATTTTTACTGGGCTTCTAAAATTGCAAAAGTTATACATGTTCATTGCAACAAATTCAAATAACACAGAGTGTATAAAGTAGAAAACGTAAGTTCTCCTCCCCTCTCATCCCAGTGCCCAGGGATTGTTTTTCTGTGAAGTATTTCAGAAGTATTTCACCACCGTCTACTTTCTTCATTATCTTCTCTTCCCTACTCTGGGCCAGAGGCCATTTCCCACTGGGTTGAGAGTCCCTCAAGGACAAAAACTGTGTCATAGTCATCTCTGTATCCGAAGTGCTCAGTATTCCATATGTATTTATGGGATGAATTAGACTTCCGTAAAAAGGGGTAGGAATAATACTGTAGGGGTGGGGGACGGGTAGGATATGAGGAAAAAGCACTTAGACAATGGCTTCATATGTAAAATTACAATTCTGTTTCCAGAGACTGTATTTACCCCTTGATATCATTTCTGTCCTATTCTAC